ACGCTGGTACCCTGGGGAGGAGTCCCACAGCAGGAGGAGGCAGCCCTGGGTCACCCTGGGGAGGGAACGGGCAGGAGTATCCACCAACGCATCCGCTCAGCGTTTACCTTTTGTCCCCATCTGTGAAATTTGTGGTGCCCCCGGGAAGCTGTCCCCAGCAGTATGTGGCCCAGCCTGCCCAGTCCAGCATGGGCTGGTCCCACTGCTGGGGTCTCTGCTCCCCATCGCCGTGCCGAGCGGCCGAGCCTGGGGCCAGCCCCGGGAACTGAGCCCCCAGTGCCCAGACACTGAGCCAAGACCCCTGCGTGGCTTTCCTCCTCCTCACCCCAGCCAGGTTCACACCTGTACAGGTTTGTCCCTGTGGACGTGGTCACAGCTGACCCATAGCCTGTGTATCCCGCTGTGCCATGGCCAGGGGACCTATCACCCCGTGGTGGTGCTTTGGTTGGAAAAAAGGCAGCGAGCACAGTCCTGCTGGGGACAGGGCTATGGGGACAGCGAGGTGGCATCTCCTTCAGCGCAAGCAGGAGAGGGTGTCCCACAGGTGAGTTTCCAAACCTGATGAAGCAGCTTTTTGCACGTGGAGGTCAAGGTGAGGAGCTCCTTGCTGCAGGGTGCCAGGATGATCTGAAGTTTAGCTGAGTTTGAAATGCTGCTGGAAGAGAGAAAATATCCGCTGGCCCTTGGTAAATGCCATGCCAGTCTCTGCAAGGAAGGAAGCTGTGCCGAGCTGGAACGGGACAGCCACAGCCCCCAAATTCCCGCTCGGAGCAGTGGTTTTGCCACTGTAGCCCATTACCAGGTTTCGTTCCCCACCAGCCAGCTTGTCTTGGCCAGAAAGCAACGACACAGGGTGAGGGCTTGGTTTGGGTTTTTTTTGTTTTTTTTTTTTTTCTTCTCCTTCTTCTTTTTAACCTTTATTTAGAAACTAGAATATTCACCAAATCTACACGGTTCCTCTGTACAGGTCTCACCAGGTGAAGAGCAACACTCGGCAATCTCTGCAGGCAGCCCTGGCTCGCTGTGCGCATCGCTACGGAGAGCGAGAGCCTGCCGCACCGTACCTGCCATCAATTACAGAGGTGTCGTTTTGGAAAGTATTTCTGAACTGGTTCCCGTTGGAAGGAGGGAGGGGACGGGAAACGGGAGGAATGTTGTGTGCTGCCTAAACCCAGCGGGCACGGAGCATGCCCTGGGGGCTCTGCCCGGGGGGCTCTGCCCCAGGGACACGGTGCCGCTGGGTGCATCGTCAATCAAATTTCACAGTATCACTGCCAGCCCCGGTACCAACAGCTGAGCCCAGGGCAGCGACGGGCTCGTTGTCTTCCTCCTCTTCAGCTTTGCAGCTCGTCTGCGCAGACGAGGGGCATTGCCGAGAAGTGGCACGGCTTGGCAGGAGGGTGCCTTTTTTTTGGCTGGTTTATGCCCTTTTTTTTGTTTGTTTTCTAACCTGGGGAACATACAGACTCGGAGTAAATGAAACGGGCCCGTTTCCAAAACACATTAAGAAAAGGAAAGAAAAAAAAAAAGGCACTGCACAGGGGGACCTTTGAGGTAGTCGAAATTTTTTTCCTTTCAATGTCTGGCACCAGAGAGAGGAGGAGAGAGAGAGAGAGAGAGAGTGAGAGCACGTGTGCCTGTGTTTCGCTGTGCGTGGGCCACGTCTGTGGCTGTGCATGTCCACCCATGTGCAGGGACATCTGGGTGTGCAAGCCCTGTGCACGGGGACACCGGCGTGCGCAGAGCCTGTGCCCGGGAGCTGGCACGCCAGTGCCCGCGAGTGGCTTTGCACATGCCTGTGGCTCTGCTCACGCCTGCAGTCGGTGGCTGGGGAGCATCCGTGGCCCCTTGCGTGGCCGTGTGTCTGTGTGTCGGGGGGTTTCCATCACCGCAGCTGGCTCGGGGCTCCCCTCAACAGCTCCAGCCACCCTTTCAGCCCGAAGGAAAAAGGACCGTGTCTCGTGATACCACTCCCTGCTGTACTCCTGGACCTCATCCTGCAGAATAAACACTGCGACAACCTGAGAGGAGCAGAGGTGGGGCCGAACACCAGCCCTCCTTCACCTGGTCCCCTTGGACCCCGCTCTGTGTGTCGGGGTGAGATCGATGCTCTGCAACCCGCCCTGGAGCATCATGCTCGCTCCAAAACCGGGGCTGAACCTGAAGCGGCCGTGCACTGGTCTTTCAGGGCTGTTGTCCCCCTCCGAGACAACCCCTCCAGGGCAGCTCAGAGGAGGAGGGTCTCCCTGCGGTAAGCCCCAGGACACCTGCACCCAAGCTGGGGTCCCAGGTGCGATCAACCAAATTTCTCTGCTGCTTCCTTGGCCATGGGCAAGGACAGCCTGCCTCGTCCCTTCCCTTTCCTGCCAGGAGGAACAAATCCCTGAGGAATTCCAGCTGGGTGCATTCCTCTGAGTGCACGCACAGGGGCTGGGAGCCAAGCACAGCCTGGGCTGGTGCTGGGAGGCACCATTGTCTGGGACCCTCTATCAGGGACAAAGACCCCAATCCCCCACTGCCCAGCTGAAACCTAACGGGGGCTTGGGGCTGGCGAGGTCCGGCCTCGGAGAGCCCCTTTCCCCAGCTGCATAGTGGGGACACAGGGAGGACTTTGGCAGGGGTGAACCCAATGTGCACAAGGTCAATGTCACTAACACCTTGCATGGAGGAAACATTGGAGATAACAAATAAAATCCCCTTGACTTTTGAGTTGTGGGGGCTCACAGGCTTGTAAACTGCTCAACTCCCTTGGAGCAGCTTCCCTGGATGGCCAGACCCTGAACTTCTCCAAAAACCCCCTGTGCTGCGTCCCTGCCTGCCTCCACTGCCCCGACATCCGTCATGATCTGGTGGAGGTGGCACCTAAAGGAGAGCAGAAACCCCTCTGCCTTCTCCCTCCTTCTCTCTCTCTCTCTCTCTCTCTCTCTCTCTCTTTATTTTGTGCTAGATTTGTTGGTTTGTTGGTTTTTGTTTTTTTTTTCCTCTCTCTTCTTTTTCAGCAACCCCCAACCCAGCTGGAGATAAGTGAACCACGTTACAGTACAGGAACAAACACTATCGCAAACCCTGCCCGCGAGCGCAGTGTCTCTGCCCTCCTCGCCCCGGAGGGTGATGCCTTTGTGTGCCACCAGCAGAGGCTCATCCCATCTGGGAACAGGGATCAGTTGTCCCGATCCCTCCAGCCCCAGCTCTCCAGAGAGCCTGAGCTAAAGGACATTGAGTTTTCTCGAGCACGTCAAGTTACTATGGACCAAGTCCCACATTTGGAGCAACTCCGGAGGCAGCAGTTTATGAACCACCAACATACTCCGGAAAAAACATGGCTCCTTGTTCATCTTGCTGTTCTTGTTCTTCACGATGCCAAAAGTTTTGAAGCCCTCATGCCCAACAGGTGATACATTAAGGACCTCCAAGCACATCCCTAGGAAGACGTCGTCAATGGGGTACAGCTCCAGCGTCTCCGAGGTCTTGTGCAGCCTCTTGGCCAGGGGTCCGTCCATGATGAAGCCTCCCCCGCCAGCGTAGGGTGGGTAGTTGCTTTTGTTGTAGAGGGCACTGGGGATGTAGTACTTGTTCTCCTTCTTCCGAATCGGCTTGGCCTTGTAGAGGACATCTCCCACAAAGAGATCCTCTCCCTCTTTCTTGTCCTCCAAGAACTCCAGGATGTTGCTGGGACTCACAAACACATCGTCGTCACCTTTGAAGATGAAGCGGACATTGTCACAGTAGATGTTCAGCCACTTCAGGAAATGGACCTCTTTGAGGGTGAGGTTGAAGAAGCTGTCCAGGAAATCCCACTGCAAGATGTCCCCATAGATATGGTTCTCGTAATCCAGCAGTTTCTGGTAGTTGGCTCTCTCCTCCTCCTTGGAGGCCGTGCCCAGCAAGAACAGCGTCCTGATCCTCTTGCCATCCACCTCCTTCTCCTGGCCCCAGGTCCTCCGGATGGCCTCGCGGCGGTCGTGTTGCGTGATGATAGACTTGACCACGATGAGCAGGTAGACGTCCTCGCTGCATTTCTCAGGGTGGTTGATCAGCATGGGGAAGTAGCGGCAGTGTCGATAGAGCAGGAACTGCTGGAAGTTGGGCTCCAGCCCTTTGAACCAGTCCACCTTGCTGAAGTTCTGGTTGGCCGAGCAGTTGGTAGTGGTGACATCCCAGGATTTCATTTGCTTTGCCGTCACACCTTCCTCCTCCTTCACGGCAGCCTTTTCCTTCTTGCTCTTCCAGAAAGTGCTGCTGATGGAGAAGGTGTTGTCCCTCTTCTGCGTTTTCAGGGGCTCCGGAGGGGGCGGCTCTTTCTGCTGCTGGCCCTGCATGAACTGGCTGGGGGCCATTCCCCGTTGCAGCACTGTCACCGTGATCACCAGCAAGAAGGAGAGGCAAATTGTTTTGTAGATGGTCTTCTTCCTAAAGGGATGAGACAGGGGGGTTAAAGAGAGGAAACTGCAGGCTGCAAGAGGCTCATCTGCAAAAGTACCTCCTGGAGAGGTCACGGGATGCTCATAATCTGTGTCCCACCACCTTGTGACAGGCAGCAGCCTTGTGGGAATGGCTGTGGGACACCTCTTCCCACCCGTGTCCCACTCGTGGGATGGCTCTGGGGCCACACTTCACCACAGGGACAGGCACAAGGCAGGTGGTGGTGGTGTCATTGGGTGACCCCAGGTTTGTGCAAACAGCTGGGAAGGGCTCACGGGAAAGAAGAAAATAGGTTGAGAGCGAGATGAAGTCAGGATGAGAGCTTCAGCAAAGCAGCTGTTTTGGATGAAAGTCCCAAAGGAAACCCCTGCTTCAACCATCTGAAAATTGCAGCTTAGGATGAGAGCAGAAGGGAATTTATCTTTTCCATGGAAGTGTAGCTCCTAACCCCAGACATCCTGCCCGTGGCCCTAGCCTGGCATCACAGGTTACACAACACTGGGAAACCAGAGCTGGGAAGACCACGGCAGTCAACACGGAGCAGACCGCCGGTTCATTTCAAAGTGGCAGATCAGGAGAAAAAAAAAAAAAATGCCATGAGATGACCTTCAAGGTTCAGTGGGAAAAAGACATCCTTAACTCTGCATCCGCCTGGGGAAGCAGCGTTCCTGGGGCACTGCTGGGCGCGCTGGCCAGCTCTCACCACTCCTCGCTTCGCTTTGCAGGGGTAAGGACAGCAGAGGCACCGCTGGGGATTTGCTCCACTGCAGCTCCCAACTTTGGGAGCAGATATTCCCAGCCTGCAGCAAACCACATCCCTGCATGTCCAGGGTATGCAGGGGGCCGGGGGTTGTAGATCAAACCCAGCCACCTACGGGGCCATCCTACCTTCTCGCTGCAGACCCACCACCCAGGGACGCCGCTGGCTCCTGGGACCAACCCTGGAGCTCGCTGGGGGCTTGAGTGAGACCCTCCTGTGGGACAGCAGGAAGGCTGCACCCAGAGATTGCTGATGCATCAAATACCTCCCCCCATGCATCAAATAACCCCCCCCCAAATCTGCTTTTCCACATGGTTAAAGGCAGGTTTCTCACCCCGCTGCCGTGGAGAAGAGGAACCGCTGCTCTGCCCATCTGCCCCGTGTTGTCCCCATGTGCCCGGCTCCCCTCCACAGCTGGCACATCTGCACCAATTTCCTCCTGCCTCTGTCCCTCTCCCTTCGGCTGCCTTGGGCCATGTCCCCATGCCAAAGAGCACTGGGCACAGGGCTGACAGCAGGGCTCCACGTCCCCACCGGGGTCCCGATGGCTTCCCGA